ATGGCTAACTCACAGATGGAACCCTGAAACAACCTCTGGACTGATCTAAGTCAGGGCATGGCTAACTCACAGATCAAACCCTGAAACAACCTCTGGGCTGATCTAAGTCAGGGCACAACTAATTCACATATCAAATCCTTAAACAACCTTTGGGCTGTTCTAATACATGTAGTTGGGGTTTGGCTAACTCACAAAATGAGCCTGGAAAAAATTGAACCCTCAAAATAATGTGAAGCTGAATTTAGGGATCAATCCTGAGACCCTAGCGGTAAGAGGTCAAACTTGAGATCTGCAGGGGTTAGAGATGGGTGCATTACAGCTACACTGCAAGATGTCTTCTCAAAACAAAATTCAGACTGACATTTTGAAACAGTTGAAATTTCCTGTCACTACCTCACCTGCACCCTTCTTCTAATCATGTATCGAATCTCGTTGAGGTATTGTTGATCATTTGTATTCTAGATGTCAAGCCATCCAATATTCTGCTTGATAAACAAGGATGCATAAAACTGTGTGATTTTGGAATCAGTGGTCAGTTGGTGGATTCTATTGCTAAGACAAGAGATGCAGGCTGTAAACCATACATGGCGGTAAGATGATTGAATGTATTTAATACAATGTGTAGTAGTTCCAGAAAATATCCATGCCCCACTCACAGAGGAAATTGGAAATTCTGGAGGGGAGGGGGTTCAGAGAAAGTACAAAATCACAGAGTTTGTATGGAAGAAAATTGGAAGTTCCTTGGGGTAGGGGGGTCCTTTTTCAAATTGCCCCCACCACCACCACCTTAGCTCAGCTGTGAAGAGTGTCAGTCTGGCCGTGGTTGAAGCCTCCACTGGACCAATACTCAGGGACTTAAACTAAAGTTCTTGTATTTCATAAAACTCTGTTTTACAGTTCTGTTCAGTGACCATGAATACTAGTTCCAAGTCGAGGTTGGAGTTTCCACGCATACCAAAACTATACTTTATATCATGCGCGGCAACTCCAACCTCAACTTGGAACTAGTATTTGGGATCACTGAACAGAACCGTAAAATAGAGCACAGGCAACCCTAACAAGGTTGCTGTGTATGGTTTATAAGGGAATGTATGGGAGTTATGATAAAGTTACGAAAATAAAATGTTTCACTCAACAATTTGCCTCAAAACTTGCTGCAGTTGTTGCTTTTACTTTGTTCAGTCTTCTGGCGAAGTTTCAGCGCGATTTTAGGCCGTTTAGTGGGTTTTTTCAAAATCCGCTCTTCTCTACTTAAATAATGGGTAGAGAAGGGTGGATTTTGAACATTTTATTTTCGTAACTTTATCATAACTCCCATACATTCCCTTATAAACCATACACAGGAACCTTGTTTGGGCTGCCTGTGAATAGAGTATTATAACATTTGCAAATGGTTAGACCTTTATGTTGCTCAGATGACCCCATTAATGATGGCAACCCCATTAATGATGGCAATCCCATTCATAATCAACTGGAGATGTTAAAATAGGACCACAAGTTTATCAGTTTGATTTATCTTAATTATTTATATTGTGGTGGTGTTGGAATGATGTTTTTTGTCTTCCTATTCTTCTTCTTTGCAGCCTGAAAGAATAGACCCGTCATCGTGTCGGCAGGGATATGACATCAGATCTGATGTGTGGAGCTTTGGCATTACCATGGTAAAAACTGCTCATTGCAAATGTTTAATAGAAAAGAGATAATATTATTTACTGTATCTTTTAAGCCCCCTAGGGGCATGTCATCCTTTTTCAGTGCTTTTGGACTGCAGGTTTATTAGAGGGTTCCCTGCTAGAAGTCCCTCCTCTTTCTCTCCCTTCTTTCAGGCGGGAAAGAGGAAGACTCTGCCGATGTAGAGCATTTCCTTTGATACACCGCCGCCACGATCGTGTACAAACGAAACCAGTTTTAAAACTGGTTTTTAACCAATTACATGTAGTACGCATGAGCAAATGTAACACACCATGGCACCAAACATTGTTTGACGAGAGCGGCTGTCAAAATCATGACAGCGTTGCTAAGTTACGCCACCCATGCGCGACAGAAATAACGTCCTACATCGGCAGAGTCTATTTTTCTCTCTCAAACAAAAGAAAAGGAAAATAGGCTCTGCTAGCAGGGAAAATAGAGGCGGCGAGCTAGGCTTATTGGCCTGAAGCTAAATAAATTTCCCTGGTGTTTGGAAATTCATAAAATAATACTTTTTATTCATGATTTTTTTCACCAATGAAGTGAAGTGACTCTCAAAGGCCTTCTAAAGGAAAAGGACTACAACGTTACTTAAGGCTGGGTGCATATAAGAGACTGAGGGCTAATTATTTCAACTTTTGGCTCCTCAAACTGTGGTCTTATTAGAAGGGGGGCTTATTAAACACTGGGGGTTCAATAGAGGAAATGCATTTATATTAATGATTATTATTTGCTGTAGATTGAACTTGCATCTGGTAAATTTCCATACCCCAAATGGACCAGTGTTTTTGACCAGTTATCTCAAGTAGTAGAAGGCGATCCACCTCGTCTGGTCAATGATGAGTTCATTCAGCGCTCCCCAGAACTATTGAACTTTGTCAATATTTGGTGAGTCTTTTACAACAACTTACAAATTTCTCGCTCGCTGATTGGTTATTTTTTATCGTCAATAAGAGGACAGACAGATAAAACTGACATCAACAAGTGCTCTCTTTCCATGTGTTGTTTTGATCGCTAAAAACGAAAGTGTTCATTAAACGATAAGAGGACAGACACATTAAAAACTGATGTCTCTTTGTTTTGTTAATTTAATATTTTGAAAAAGGAGCTACTTTCCTTCAATCCGTCTTTCCGTCCACCCACCCACCCACCCACCCACCCATTAAAGTGCACATGAACCCTTCGACAATACTTTCAGTACTGATTCTACACGAAGTAAATAGTTGAATGGTAAAATATTTCTTGATTTGAGTGATGCGTTTCTAAGTTATGAAGGTTTATAC